TCCTAAATGTTACACATTGGACTGCAAGTTAAGTTAATTATTAGTGCTATTCCTCATCAAAATCCAAAATTATCTGCATGGAAAGATACCCCCAAGCATAGAAAAATATCTAATTAAGTGAACTGAGGCATTTCCAGGATGACACCATTGTTCCCTATAATTGTGGTCATCTTTTAACTTGACTCTGTTTTCACAGTCGGAATGCAATGCCAATATTTTTTTTACACAAAACCAGGTCAAGACATGTGAAGTGAGGCAAGGTTTGGCACCTGTGGTTTCCAGAAATTACTTCTTTCAGTTCTTTAAACTGCCTTTTTGAAAATCCCAGGAGCTACTGAAAATGGGACTGAAGTGTGGGCTCACACCGGGAGCTTTCTGTTCAGAGATTTAAAATAGGAGGTCAGTCATTTTTGTTAGAATTTGATAACTTCAGCTCGAGAAAGAAATCCTTGATTCTGACACCACATCTGGCATTTACTATCTGTGTTTGCAATCCCTAAAACATTTTCCAGAATTTCCTATTGGGAGATCAGTTTTAACATTACACCCCTTTAAGACACTATGGATACAGTAAATGTCCATTTAACAGCCCTATTGTGTACATTTCCATAGATTACTCTGCTGGAAAGTGCAGAGTCGTATTTATCACTTTAGGGAAGGTCGCTCCAACACGTTTATCTCTGTAACATTTGAGTTTCACGTCCAGTTTTCAAGTCCATAGTTTACTATGTGAACAAACCTTTTTGCATCTTTGAGCAGTTCCCTCGTGATTTTAGATTTCTGTGTCAGTTCAGTAACAACTGTGATTGCATTCGATTCACTGCTTTCATCAACTCCAAATTTGCCACACAATACTGTGACACAAATCTGACACAGTGATGAGTCAGTAGACCTTGTGTGCTACTGACCCATATTACAAACTGTCATAATTACAAATGACAAAACCAAACTAGTCAGACCATCAGCTGACTTGCTGTGCCAAACTGGAAAATAAACCCCATTTATCAGCATAACACATCGCTGCCCTGAACTAGAACTGAGTACCAGTTTCCTCTTTTCTTCTTTGGATTCAATTTGTTGGAGTCTTTGTCAGCTATGGCAAAAAGAAGTAGAGCATTTCTTTACATAAATTCATGACAAAAAATCCTTTTGTATATTAGCCATTCTGTTTCCTCCTCATACTGTGGATAAAAAAGACGTTTTGGAAATTTCACTGTTACATGATTTGTTATACGATATGGTGATCAAGCTCACAATCATATGAGCCACAGATTGGACAGCTGAAAGGTTTGATGCAAGTTAATGAGCATCCGAATAAATCAATGCTGATATTAGAATAGTGATATTATTTTCCATTCTGTGCATTGGTTTAGCTCACACATGTCTGTAAATATGCATGCTGTATATAAATCTGTGTGGAAATCTGCGCCTGTGAACATGAATATGAATATGCAATGTGTGTTTCCATATGTGCTGTCTGTATGAATCTGGCTGCAGACGCTCATATGCTGGCAGAATTTAAAACTAAGTATCTGGACAAGGACATTAAGCAGATGGGGGGGAAAAAAATCAATATTCATTTGCTCGATTAGACAGTGTCACTTTTTTTTGCATAAGTCAGGCTAATAGACAGCCCCCGGGCTAGAAGTTAACAATGAATGTACGTGTGCAAAATTTGATAACAAAATGAGAACAAGTACCTGTAGTACCTATTGCTGACCTGAGGAATGAGTGGAAAGGTTTAGTATTTACTCACAGAAAATGCCACATAAAATTAACAGGATGTGACTGACATGTGGCGCTGTTGAAAACTGACCAGATGCCCACCGGAGACAGGATCTTCATTATGTGGTCTGCAGGAATATGTAGGTCATTCGCTCAATATGGTCGTTGTTGGATTATGTTTAACCTCAGAGATGTGCTTGCCTGCCAATTCAGTGCATAAAGGTCACAATACTGCACTACATTACATATGTTGTGATATGCATCTTGGATCATATTGAAAGTGGCCCATTTACATCTCATCATTGACATCATTGTGGCTTTGGGTGCCTTCCCCATCTGCACGAGCTGTACACTAGTAAAACAAGTTCTAATGTATATAGTATGCTGCTATCTGAACATTAGGTACTGTTCATGTTAAATAAATGTATACTGATTTAAATTAAATCAAAGTATATTAAATCAATTTATATTTATGTTATTTTCTATACAGCAGCTTTTGACTGTCAATCACACTTTGACCAAAATTCTTTATCATTTATATAAACACTTTCTGTGGGTGCTGCTGCTTATCTCTTTTTTAAATTTCACAAATATTTCATTGAATATAGTTAGCCCAATGTAAGAATTGATAAGAATGACTTCTGTTCACAGGTTTACAGAGCTTTTACTGAGAACAAATACACTGGAACTAATGGCAGCTTTTGGTTGTTTTTTGTTTACAGTTTGCTTTAAGTCATTCATTTAGACAACAGTATAGTGTAGAATAATAGCGTGATAAGGTCATATATTCTTGATAGGTTTCATGAAAAGTTAATAGATGATGATGATTGTCTCAACCAGAAACAGACGTCACTAACCCATTTTAGAATCCTACGTTGTCAACGTCTGAAAAACACTCCAGCCTGCAGTTATCATCCCATAAACTCTTAGCACTAGATTTTAGACTGACAACATGTATACTCTCCGTATGTCAAAAACTGACAAGCAGGAGCGAACAAATTGCATGTGCTTTAAGTGCCGAAAGTGCTGTGATTTAATGTGTTCATCTAAACAATACTTAAATGATACTTGACCCGCCTGTTGGCCTGGCCTGCTGGGGGAAGTGACACACACACACAGTGATCATAGGGAATGAGTTTGTACCTGAGTGTGTCTGTAGAAAAGGCCCCAAAGTTG